CCCTCCTCTCTCTCTCTCTCTCTCTCTCTCTCCTCTTTCCACCGTCTTATTTCGAGGCACGCCTTCCCTTTCGCACCTCTCTGTTTTTTCTCTAATTATGAATGAAAACGCCGACGCCCTTGTCCCTCCTTCGAAAACTCGATCCTCGCTTTCTCTCTCTCTCCTCGCGCTTGTTCTTTTCTTCACTCCTCCATGTTTTTTCTTCGACTTCGTCGAGGTAGATTCGGTCGTTTTTTTTTTGCCCTCCTTCCTTGGGACGCCTCCTCCTCGACGACGGCCAACCCTTCGCTGGCCCGGTTACCAGACCCGGTAAATTGCATTGTTCTTTCCTGCCTCGTCTTGAAAACGTCGTTTTTCCACGAGTGCTGTGGATGGATTTGTTCTTCTCGCGTCTTGCTCGCGACTGCCGCTTCTGCCGTGTTTATATTTTGTTCGCGCGTCGTCGTCGAAGCGATTATTATTTTCTTGGAACTTGTATTTCTCGAAATATATCGTATATATAAACGTAGAAAGAAAATGTAAATAGAAAGTTACGCGTATACGTTTTGAAATAAGATACGCGGAGAGTGTTATTTATACGATGTATAAATCGCTTTCGATGTATTATAATTTGTTGAAAAATAAAGAAGATTTGAGATGTAATATCGATACGAGGAAAATGTTATTTATTGCGATACGTAATCGCACGTGTAAAAAAACATTGGCTCGTTTGTGAATCGAGCGAAATTTCATTCTTCGAAATTTCTCTCTCCTGAATTTTTATTTTTATCACGACCACTCCTGAACATTGGAATGGTAAGTATCTTGGAATTTTTTTAAGACTTTTTTAAAGCCCATAACGATGAAAAAGTTTGCTCCAGTTTTTCTACTTTTCTTCAAGAATCAATCATGGGATTGAAACGAGATTTTACACATATTCGCATAAATGGATTTAATAAGAGAAATTTGCTTGTATGAATGCAAACTCTTGTTATTAATTTGAATCAAAAGGCATATAATGTATTCTTCAATCGTCGTTCAACCTACTATTATTATTCCCTCTGTCGCCCCCTAAAAAAACAATTTCAAACTCTAACTCACTTTCACCAAACAGTATTAAAATGATATTAAAATAAATAAATTAACAAACGCTTCTTACATAATATAAAAAAAGATAATATTAATTCCTATTTCCAAGAATAGATAAAAATCCGCTATCGAAAAAACGAGATATAAATAAATCCAAACTGGTTGATCGAGAATTAACGAAATTACGAAGAAAGATATCTACTATCTGAAATAATAAAAAATACACGATTAATCGTAACAAAAAACGCGGGGCTAAATTAAAAGGATTTCGCGGATGGCTTTGCCTCCTTATCGCCTCTACAAGTGGCGGTTCCGTCGTCGCGCGCCAGCTGACCCACTTTCACCCCTTTTTTCCCTCTAATTATGAATGAAAACTTCGGCAAGTGTCGGAGGGGTTGGCGGGGGCGGAAGAAGGGGGTGGAAAAGAAGCAGGGAGAGAGAGGGAGGGGGGATACACGCGAACATTTCTTTCGTCGCGCCGACTCGGCTTGCCGCTACTATTTTTTTAGTTTTCCTCCATCCTAACCTTTCCTCCATCCCCTTTTTTCCGGAAAATTCGCTTTCCACCGGGAAAAAACCGCATTATCGTAAAGTTTGACGGCCCGTTTTTCCATTGGCAGTTCGTCTTCCTTTTATTTCGCGAGATAAAATGATCGTGATGTTAGCACAGAGAGAGGAGAGGGGGGAGAAAATATCGCGAGCAAGTTTATATCATCGTCAACAAGATGATTCTTGGCAAAGAAATTTTGCCACGAGTTTATCATTCGTTGTTTATTGATATTGAGGGACGGTTGCAGTATTTTTTTTTTTAAATAGATTATATTTATAAAGGGACGAAATTTTGCTCTTCTTTTCTTTCCTCGAAACAGAATGATGATGTCTAAAAAGGGTAGCTTATTAGATGCTAAATCTTCAATGCATAACACTGTTATGCAATTTATTGATTACTGAAAATATTATCGAAGTCTGTAAGAACGTATGAATTTGTTATTTACTTCCTCTCTTGATTGTATAATTATTTAACAAGTTATACGAAGCAATATTTTTATTAATGGAATTCAATTTGCTAGAAAAATGAAATATTGTATTTACGAAATTTGATAAATTGCATCAATTTTAAAATTCGTTCTATATGTATGTATAACTAACCTGAGAAAAAAGTAACAAATAAAATATTATACCCAACATCAAATCTATTCACTTATTCGTTCCATTATTTAAATGATAGTAAAAAAGTTGAGAAACGATCTAATCCCTTCGAGTGCAATTCGATTTTCAAAATAAATTTCACTCAATAATAATACGAAACGAAAACTAGCAAAAACACGGAGGATGAAAAAACGAATAACCTACGCCTAAGGAAGAAAAATAAAAGCCGCCAAATCTTTTCCTTTTCTCTGAAAAAGGGATTGTCCTCCCAGAGATTATTATTTCTTCTCTGGAACAGAAATACCGTGGCAAGTTACAAGACGCGAATCAAAACGCGAGCTCGTAAGCGGCTTATTAAAAGCGGGCGCATCTCCTCCAACTTCCACCCATTAATATGCTTTATGGGACAGGGTGCACGCGTTACATGCGAGCAGTGCATTTAATTATGGAACGGCTATCATTCTCGCCAAGTATCCAAAACGATCGCTGGGGTGCCGTTTTCTATTATAAACGTGGAAGCGTGTATAACTTATTATGGGGAAGCATACCTATGGGGCTTTGATGAACACCTTCCTCCCTCCCTCCCTCCCTCCCTCTAATGAATCCGCTTGGCTCATTTACACCTCGACCGGACGCTGTCTCGTTCCATCTGTGAACATACGTGAATGACGAAATCAGTACGATGGATTTTGTAATGAAAAAGTGATGTTATCATTTTAGAGGTAAGATTACTTCTTATCTCGTTCGCGTTCTTGTCGTTGCAATGAAATATTTCTGGTATATGATGAAAGGATGCGTCGAATTTACAGTCTCTTGTCGGTGAATGAATATTAAAAACGATTAATATGCATATTTATTTATATGTATTTAACGACTAACGGTCAATAAAATGGCGAAGAAGAGAGAAATATATTAATACATTTTCGAAAATTCCAATCGAACTGGTCGATCAAACAGGCGATCACCGTTTGATCTGAACGACTTATCCGCCACATCCGCTCTTCCTAATTGCTCCGCCATGTTTAAGTGGTGCCTGATCGACTAATTAGCGAAGCTGTCGAAGCCATTTTCGAACGGAACGCGGACAAGTGTTCAAAGGCAACCGTGATCCCCGCCGCCGTTATTGCCGTGTGTGAATCGTGTATGAAATCTTGCGCTCCAACGTCCACGAGGGTTGAATATTTATTACGAGGAGAAGAAGAAGGGAAGGAACGAATCGGGGACAGAATCGTGCGGAAATAGCGCTGAAAGTTTTCAACCATTTCGTTTGCTGGCGGACGATTGACACGAATACCTTCGAATTTAATCGAATCGAAATTATTGTTGCGAGGGAAGAAAATTGTGGAATTTTAAAAATTGTTTGATCGTTAGTTTCGAATCGATTGAAAAGTGTGGAAGTATTTTTAGATTTAAGTATTTTAAGATTTAATTTTCATTGAGATTATGACTGTATATTCCTTTTCGAATTTTAAAATTCCTCGAAATCTCATAATCACCGATCACATTGATGGATATTTTATCAATCAGAATCAATAAAGAAAATTTTTCCTACAATTCGTAATTAAATTCCAATTATAATAATTTCATCGATTATTAATTTAACTTCCACTCGTTAAATTACTCGTAAATCGTCGCTTTGAAATAAATCGTATTCGATCGCTTAGCTTATCGTTTCATTGATAATTTCAGACGATCGTTCGATCGATCCTTGGACCGTTTCGTAATCGTCAAACACGCAATTTCCGGATTTCTTTTCGAATCTGCGCGAAGAAGGGGTCGAAAGGAAGAATTAGTGGGAGGAGTGATTCTCGTTTATCGACGATCGTCAGAAGGGTTGGATAATATCGTTAGCCGTTCTCGACTTGCTTTCCAGATCTACACGGCTAATTAAATCCAATGGCGTGTCGTACGCGCTTTGACGAGTCGATTAATCGAACAATTTGTTAATTGATGTAACGAGAATTCGCTTCTTTAATCCCGTGGTTACTTAAGAGAAATGATATTCGATTTTCTTCGAACCGAGAACAATTCACTTTGTATTTTAAAGGATTTTCCGGGACAATCTTAATTTCTCTTATTCCGTAATATCGATGAAATGGACGTAATAGGTTTTCGTAATTAATATTTCATTTGTCGTAACTTTCAGATTTGAGATCTTCAGATTTACAAGATGATGCAAATGTAATAGCAATGATTGTGTATTACTTTTTCTTGTATACAAACCTACTAGGTATACTCTTACAATATATGAAAATAAAATAAAAAAGTCCTAAATTTAGTAAAATTCGATGTAAAAAAATCACATTAATTCCGAGGATATGAAAGAATTTCTTTGTTATAATTTTATCGATTATTATTATCATTATAAATTTTCGTGATTACTTTAGCAGAAGGACAGAAATAGGAAAATTAAATTTTATCCGCATTTCTCGAATTATATTTTTACTTGCATTGCATAGAATATTTGTACACATGATGTACAATGGATATCATTAACTATTCGAGAAATATAATGGAATAAGTACTAATTTTTTGATACATTTTAAACTAGATATTTTTTCTTCAAAGAAAATTGCTGAAAGTTGCTATATAATAAAATCAAGATCAAATTAAAAATTCCACATTTAATTACTATATAATATCCACTCATAAAGTTATCAATCTTTTCTCGCAACCTGTCACCCCATTTAACCCTCGACTCGTTGATCGTGACGCTCGAATCAACGCGAATGTAAATTAGACAAGAAAGCGGCCACGACTGAACAGGCTCGCGAAACCAGTATTCCATTCCGCATTAACACCAGAACCGCTTCACCTGTTTCATCCGCCGTAATAAAAACTAGTCCCTACATTCTTCAAAACTATTTCACCTCGGCGTCTAAATCGAATTATCGTCAACCGTGCTTTCAAATTTTTCCACAAGGAAGAAACAAAACAGGAGGAAAGAATAATAATAAAAGGAAGAGAGAAAGGGAACGATGGAACGAGCTCCGCTACAAATACGTATCCTCCACAAACTTTAAAGCATGCATACGCTCCTTCAACATCTGTTCTTCGATCGAATTACACCGCCGACCGTAGGTATAGTTTTCTACCATCAGAAAGATAATAAATAAAAGATAGAAAATCAATTTCTCCAAAACTGTGTTATCCCGGCATCGCCGCTTAATCGAATTACACCGTCGTGATGAAGGGTGGGGAGGAAGGGGAAGACAGTGTTCTCTCCCTTCCCCCCCCCTTCTCCCTCTCCCATAGAAAAGCCACGAAAAGGAGAATAAAAGGAGAATAAAAGGGGGGGGGAGGGGAGGCAAGACGAGTCGGTTTTCAATTTTCGATGATTCCACCGAATTCGGTAACAGTGTTAGGGGATAGTTAGTGTAGAGCTGTGGTGTTGGCATCCGCCGCTATCCAGCAGCCATCCCCAACGTCCCTCTGCTTTTGCGGTGGCTGTTCACCAAGGTATATAGGGTGGTTGCCGCTTCGTCGGGGCTTTAAGACACCGTGTGTGGGAGTGGGCGTGGCCTTGGGGTGGCCGTTGGCCAATCAGCAGCCGCCGGTTGCCGGCCACCCCCGACCCACGTGGTCCACATCCCCCAACATACATATTGATCTCGTAGTCCTTGCCGACCGCCGCGCCAACCCCCTCCTTTCCACTCTCCCTCTACCTCCACCGTCTCTCTCCACCCGGTTCAACACACCGTGGTCCTTCTCGCCCTGTGGTCCCCTCACCCTCGACGTTCAACGATCCCTCGAGAGAGAGAGAGAGGAGGGGGGAGGGGGGGGAGGAGAGAGAAGGTCGTGCCTGACCAGCAGCGTGCAACGAAATTTTCGAAAGTAAGCGGCGTCTGGTTTTTCACGGACCTCGTTTCGCCATCGGGGGTGGTGTGGGGTGGAGAATAGGGTGCAAGGAGACGTCTCGTTTCCGACGGCGTTACCTCGACGAGCCGCGGCGAATGGAGATTGTTCGGGGTGGATGGAAGGGCTGTGGAGAGGACAGTTTGACGATGTTGCGTATATATAGCTGTTGGGTTGGCCGCTTTGACGAATAAGTTTTTTGCGTGTTATTTTATGCTAAGGGGATGAGAGATAATATGCAACGAGGCAAAGACTATAAGTGTATATTTTGTACGCGACAGTCTGTTTAATCCGTACGTGGCTCTTTTTCTAGATGGTAATTTGAATATCGTTTCGGCAGATTAATGACGAGAACAATGGAAAGAAAGCTAGAAAGAATATCGCGATACAGAGAATGAGAATTGATCAATTTGTCGTTTAATTCGTGTTGTAAATTCTAATCGATGCATATAGTACGCTTTCTCAGAGAATCAATAGTAGCCTTAACACTTAAGCAATGGTATCGATGGTGAACGTACGTTTCTTACGTACATGGTGATTTTTTTCAGTCGAATATACGGAACGTGTTTATTCTAAAAGATGAAGAGAGAAGATAAATGAAAACTGGATGATGTAATTAAGAATCGTTGGCAGCTAAAATGGCGCCACGAAGATTCAATTATTGCTGTATTCTAGCATCCCCCACGATTAATTCAAAGGTTCTCGGGTCAAGTAACCAGCTCGTTCCACATTCTTCGCTCCTGCTGTCTATTATACCGCTCGTCTTGGTAAATAAGGAGAGAGATTTTCTGGAGAGAGATTAATCGATGTAATTCTTAGAGGAAGTTGCTCGTTCGAAATTCTTGGACAAGAGGGGACAAGTTGTTCCGCTCTATCTTTTTGAAATTTTAGAAATTAATTAGAAAAGTTTCTTTAAATTAAATTTTAGATCTTGGATGGAGATAATTTCATGTTACGGAGAATTCGCGTGTGTGAAAAATCGGAGGGGAGATATTCTTGTGAAAAAAATTCCACAATTTTTTTATTATTTTTCAATTTTCTCTCCGTTCTATAAACAAAAATCTTCTCTCTTTTTATTAATAGACGTATAAAAAAAAATATTTGAACCCATTAAATGTTATCTCTCGTCGAAAGGTGATTGAATATCGCATTTTCGAATAATAAGAATTACAAATTATTTGAAAAATCATATAAAAAAAAAAAAAATTCAATAAATCAATAAATGCCCAAACGATCGATTCACAATTTTCCATCCATCAAAATTTTATTATCTTCCTCACCCTTCACAAATTTTATCATACCATCGTACCAAGTTAATCGTCCCACGGTCGAAAATTAATCTTCTCCTCGACAAAAGGTCTTCGTCCTGTCTCTGGCCGAAAATGGCTTTTCGACAGGGTGGAAAATTTTCCTTATTCTTCCCGTTCGAAGATACGTCTATCCTTCTGAATCTTTAAGCGACGTCACGTTCGTTGTCAGTTTACCGGGGAGATCGTTCGTTTTCGCGTGCAAATTTCGAGCCCAACCACCACCCCTCTCCATCCCTTTTCGACTCGTTCCACGATTCGTGAAAGATTCATATTCTCAGCCGGAGGGCACGACAATAATCGAGTTCAATTAATCGACTCGAAATAACCATCGTGGCCATCGTGGACGATGCTTGCTCCATCGAAGAAATGCATGGAAAATTTATTCCGTTTCGATCGCCGATTCGCTAGAGAATTTTAGTT